GCATTGGATATTTTGTGGAAGTACTCGCACTGTTGGGACATTAGACCTCAGCAGATCTTGAACCCAGGCAAATGGCCAGCTAGCCCAGCCTCTAGTTGCCTGGAGAGCTACGGTGGGGTTGGATGCTCTTCCACACGCAGGGTTTCTTTACGCAGTGGGTGGACCTTTTTCTTACAGCTTTTTAAAGCAAACAGACATAACTTTGCTGTTCCTGAAATGGCAAAAAGGAGGGGGCACATAGATCAGTCTGTAAAGAGCTTTGCTGGTAGTTGTATATAACAACATTTGCTGTCCCCACTCTGATTCCCAGTGGGGTGTACTGGATAGAGTGACAGACTATGGACTCTGGAGAACAGGGTTTGAATCCGTGCTCAACCAAAGAAACTCACTGGTGGAGTGGAACTGGTAAAACCACTCCTTAAAACCACTTACCTTGAAAGCCCTATTAGGGTTGCTATAAGTTGGCGCCAACTTGATGGCGCAGAACAACAACCATCTCCAGTCCGAGTGTGCACTAGGGAGGAATGTTCAGGCCTATGTAATCAGAGCCTTGCAATGCAGTGAACACATTCCCATCCCTGTTCACAGGCCAAGTGCTCTTGTGAAAGGCTTCTCCAAGCTGTAAAATTGGTGCACCTGCTACAAAGAAAAATAATTCCTTTGAGTATGCTGTGATTTGCCAGCCTTACTGCTGGGTGAGGATTAATGTTATTCTATGAAGAGTGAGAAGGGAATTCACCCCATGGTAACTCTTGGGAACATTGCTTTGGGAGGCCCAAATCCCCAGTGTGCAAATTCTGCATCTCGGTCCTCTCTTCGATAGACAGCAAAAGCATCTTACTCCTCAGCGTTCCAAACCTGCCAGCCCCCGACCCTCGTGCCTGCCAAATCTGTAATGCTACAACATAACCTATCTGGCTGGGGGCTTCTTGGGAGTTGTATCCCAGTCCTTCTTGTGAAGGGCTGGTATTTTGAGGAAAGCTGTTCTAAAGGTTTCTATCCTTGGCTTTGCAGTGTGAGGCCTTGTGACATTTCAGTGGCAGTGAGAAGTCCCCCCCGCTTGTCAATCTGTTGGAGTCACCTTTCTGCATCAGTGTCATGCTAGGGGAGCTCCTCTCACGCTCCCCTTGCCCCGCAGTACAAGCTGAACAGTTACGTTAATTTTCGCAGAGCTAATGAAGCCGTTCATTTGGAATTCTATTTTAAGTGACCTGACATCAGCATTGACGTTTCCAGTAGCGAGAGTCTGGAGCTCTGACATTGGCAGAGTGGAAATTGCAACCACACAAGAGGACTGTTGGCTAGTTGAGGACAGGGAATGGGAGGTGGAACGAGGGAAGAGACGCCCTCACCCCCTGCCTAGGAGTTCCCAAGCATCTACTCATAGGTATCCCTAAGCTGGAACTTGATCTGGGGATGGAGAAGGAGAGGACTTGCCAGGGCGGGTTGGGGATCTGCAGCGCAACTCACGGAGCTGGGCCATAGCACAGAGTACTAGGATCTGCAAGGCTTATTTAGAGGTGTTCTGGATGGGGTTTGTTTGGTGATATGGCCAATGGGGGCTTTGCAGGGACAGACAAGGATACGCCATTGAACTCAGAAGGGAAGGAGCAGTGATTTCTGGGGAATAAAAAGTGGGCCTATTCAGAAATGTTTTGGAAGGTGTTTGGGGAAACTCTACAGGTGAGACAACAGAGGTTAGGCTACAATATTTGACACATGCCATAAAGGCCTGTTAGTTCGAACTGCTAAAGTTCTCTCTTACCTCATTTAAATGTAGTAGGGGGTAGAGAAACGGACGGTTCCACTTGGTGTGAACTACATGATCTTTGGGGATCCTCCTGCCTGACAATTCTGTGATTCTCCGAGAAGGACAAACCCAGTAAACAGTTACAGTGTGTGTGTGGGGGGGGTGTCTCTGAGGTAACTCATGACTTTTCTAAGACTCATTTTCTGCAGTGTGATTCTCCTTCCTCTATAAGCTTTTGACAGTTTGAAGTGGTCAGAATACAGTCGTGGATTTTTAAGATGGTGTAAGTAGCAAAAAGTAGCCACAGTAATCACTTACGGGTGATGGTGGAAAGTGGCTTTCTTGTACCCCGGTGGTTCCAAATCTTGACTCCCCAGATGTTCTTGGACTACAACTCCCAGAACTTCTGACCAGCACAGTTGGTGGTGAAGGCTTCTGGGAATTTTGAATGTCCAAGAACATCTGCGGACCCAAGGCTGGAAACCACAGGTGTACCTGCTTCCTCCTAGCTGAGCTCTTACCTGCAGCTCCAGTCAATTCTTGCGAGGTCTGTTTGACTGTCAGCTCTCTATGCACGGCCCTTTTCCTCTGAGAGACACAGCAGGGTCCGTTCAGCCTCCAGGATCAATGGGACCTGGGCTGTACTCAGTAGACGGCCTGCAGTGGGTCCATACAATCTCTGTGTTGCAGATTATCTGGGACCATATGACACCTGGACAGCTCATAGGTTTGAAATGGCAGCTTGCCTGCTGTAGGAGGTTTCTTCTTAGCTAGACAATGTGGGTCAGCCAGCAAACCCCAGAATGAAAATCTTGATATGCCTGAGATCTGTCAGAGGTACTGCCAGGTACAAGAGCCTGGGGCACTATGATTTCAGTGCATGTAATACCACACATCTTATGAATGCACTCAGTGTAGCACATCCTAGCTTAGGATTCTGCTCCCACATATGTAGTTTAATATGAACTTGCTAGGTGCCCTCACCTATGGGCAAATTCATTAGAGGTATGTAGTAAAGCCACATGCACCAGCTGGCACATGCTTTGAGCCCCAGGAATAATTCTACTGACCTGACAGATGGGTATCACCCACCTAATTCGCACTGCGCCTTCCAACACATGAGAAAAGCTTAAGATAGGCCACATAAGCAGGGAGCTTGGGTACAAACTATGGCCAAAATCATGCTACACAGGTACATAAACTATGTAACTCTTGGAAGCGAATTGTCATAAGTTAAGAAATCTCCATGGGAATTATTTGTTGCATTCTGAGTTATGCGATTCAGTATGCAACAAATAACATCTATGGAAATATTTTAAACTTAGAATAATTTGCTTCCAATTTGCTGTAAGTTTATATCATTTGCAGCTCTGCACAACAGGATTTCAGCCTATATGTACTTGGCTCTACCTCTGCTGATCCTCCTGCCTTCCCACCAGCCCCAGTGGGCAACACATGCCCCTACTGGATCCCTTCTGCTCAGCAGGAATTATACCCTTGAATGTTAGACCTCTGTTCAGTGCAAGTTCTTCCTCCAACTTCCAAGCAGATTGAAAAACCATGAGCTGTCCTCAGGCCCAGACTGTATCACTGCTTTGATCTCCTTAACATGGTTCTTTGCACAAGACAGGTGATGCTTGGAGATATTGTTCTCGCTCTCGCTCTGTTTATGTTTGCGTTTCTCCTTTTCCTGTTTCTTTGGGGATGTGTCTTCTGAAGAGGTTCAAGGCTAAGCATGCAGGCAGATTGTTACTGGCAACTTGTGACTCCCACCGGAAGGCAAAAATTCTCTTCGCCTCAGGCTTGAGATCCTGCAAACAGCTCTTAGCTTGCCTTTTCTTCTTGGGTTTTTTCCTTTTTCTCGTTTCCAAACCAGACTGGAAAGGCAGCAGACGGGAGGGAAGGGGAGCTTCTTTCTTTCTGCCTCAGAGCCAAGTTCTTGTGAGGCAAGAAGAGGAAGAAAACTGCAAGTTTCCATGTTGTCTCCTCTCTCTCTCTCTCTCTGGGAACACAGTCAGAGGTTTTGTTGCTCAAGGGCATGTTTTCTCCCTCTGCATTTCAGAAGCCAGGGGACCTAGCAAGGGGTTTCTGAGGTGAGCCCAAGGGGTAAGACTATGTCTGATCAGCAGGTCTCTGGTGTATAGGTGTTGTTGCTTTGCCTGTGTGCTTTTGTGACTACAGTATGGAAGAGGCCTTCTCCCTCTGCACCTCCGGCTGGCGTGGGCTAGCCCACAAGCTAGGGACATGAATGAGGCTTTGGGGACCTGTGGCAGGGCTCTTTGCTGGTTGTGTATGACCACTTTCATTTCTGGGGCCAGCCTCAGACAGTACTATACTTTATTGAAGAGAACAGCCATGCCATTTCCATGTGGACCTTATCTCATAGGTGAACCTCTCTTCCAAGAGGACCTGTTTGCTTGTACCACATTCTTGAGGGCTCGGTGCCATGGCCTGCAGCTGTGAGGTTGGATCAGGGTTAGGTGATGTTTTCTCCTGAAATGAACCCTGCAAAGGGAAAGGTCTGTGACCAGCATGCCAAAAGAAGGGTTTAGGGCAAGGTTATGGAACCGTTGGCACTCCCAGCCCTTTGTCTGCAGCTGTCAGGCTTGACCATAATGGGCAATGACCAGGTACTAGGGTAGTTGTAGGATATCCGGAGGGCCAAATACACCCATACTGACCACAGCTTGGATAATCTCCAGTTTGCCCTTTTGCCTCCAGGACCACGAGACATATAGGAAAGATGGCAACTCACATGATCAGTCTTTCTCCCCTCTCTGCACTCCCCAATCTATGTCAGTGATTATTTTCTACATTTTCCCTTAACAAGATGTGTGATAAATTACAACTCTAGATGTTGTGTGAGAGCCAATGCAGTGGCAGGGTGATTGGCTGTCCTGGGACATGGATTCATCTTTTCCCCACCCCTGTCACGTATTCTGTATACACCTGTCCATCTCTCTTCTGTCTGAAGGGGGTTCTAAAATGGTTCTCCTTTTGTGAAGCATCTTCTGCCCACCAGCTGCAAAATGTTGCCCGACCAGAGTCGGACGTGCCTCTTCCTGATGGTAGATGCAAAGAGCTGGAGGCAGTTGTCCTTCCTGTTTCTTCACCCTGCCCTCTTGCCCTGCTCTTGGGCCAACAGCCGACCCCTAAATGTGCCTTCAATATTAGGTTTGACTCTCTGGGGTGATGTGACTTGACTCCTTCTCTCCCAGTGTGACGTGGATTCTTCTTTTCATTGTTTCAGGCATGAGCCATGAGCCAAAGTCACCTTCTCTAGGAATGCTCTCAACAGCGACTCGGACCACCGCCACCGTCAGCCCCCTGACCCCTTCTCCTCTCAATGGCTCCCTTGTGCCCAGTGGCAGCCCTGCAGCCAACAGCACTTTGTCAGTCCAATCTGCGCCCTCGTCCAGCTTTGCCGCCGCCCTGCGCAAGCTTGCCAAACAGGCCGAGGAACCCAGAGGTAAGAGCGAGGAAGGATGTGACCCTTGGACCCAGAAGGTAGAGGGGAACCAGCCAGGAGGGGTTGGCAAAAGATATCTATGGCAGAAGCAGGGAGCAACTCATTCTCTGAGTTCAATGATACTTTGATGTATGTGGTCCTGATGATGTACCTCTGTTTTTAAAACCTGTTTCTCTGCTGCTCCTCCCTCTTGCAAGTCCCCTGATTTCACCCCTTTGAGAAAGAAAATAATTATTTTACAGCACTTACATTTGAAAATGAATAGCGAAGCATGTTATTATGCTTTTGTTCAGTTATATGCGTATTTATTTATTTACAATTTATTTACAATATTCCACCATTCCTCTACTGAACCCAAGGCAGTGTACACAGCTGTCCTCCTTCCCACCTCAGGCTCACAATAGCCTTCCATGGAATGTCAGGCAGACATGGAAGAACTGGTGGAAGGTCACCCAGTGAGGTGCATGGCCGAGGTTGCATTTGAACTTGGCTCTCCCAAGTCCTGTATTCAGCAAGTACTCAGAACATTCAAAATCTATACTGCATTCATTTATATTTAGAGAGAAATAACAAATAAAAATGTAGAGGAGAGCCAATCCTGAGAAAAGAGAACGTTCAGAGGCCTCCAACCAGAAAATGCAGTGAAACAGGGCCTTTGTATGTCAAGGAAATAAGATTCCTGCAGGCTGAGAGATGCGGATTATGGGGAGGTGCATCTGAAACAAGCTTGTCTGAACTGCCTGAAATGTATTCCTGTCATTCATTAGGGGTTGGGCAGAGTCTGACATTTTCCCCCATCCAAGTCACCGGCTGGCCTTAGGAATTCCACCATCCTTGGCCAAACACGACCGGCAAACCATCCCATGACACTGCTCCTTGTACTTTGTTCTTCTTTGTCTGGCAGCTGCCAAATTTGAGTTCTGGTAACTAAAGGGGGCCCTTGCAGGATGTGTTCTTCCTCTACCTGAAACTCCATACCTTTCTGCACATTGCTGCTCATTCCCTTCTTTCACCTGTGCAAAAAGACTCTGTAGTTGTCCCATCAAATATTGCAGTTTTGCCACATGCTCATAAACACAGGCTTAGGCACTGCATTGACCACAGAAGTGTAACTACCAGGAAGGGCTGCTGTAGATGATGGTCAAAGGAGAAAAAAGATCCAGAGGTATCAAATGAGCTGTCTTATACTTCCTACAGGGCCTCCTGCTTGTAGTTTGGGAAGAAAGTTAAGCCTTAGTAGCTTGGGTTTCCCACGTCAACAGTAGAATCACTCGCCTGAAGAGTGACTGCATTGTGGAGAAAAGCAAGCCATGGGCAAGGTGTCCCTCAGGCGCCAAACCTGCTGGGCAGCTGCCTGATAGCTTCCATGGCCAGCCTTCTGCCATCCGCAGTCGCCCTCTGACACCTCCCTCCTTCCTCCCGCTAAAGCGCTTGTTTTATTTTTAGCTGTCGGATTTTGTTCTCTCCCTCTGCCGCTTGATGGGCTAATGTCTTTCCTCAGCATTGTGTCTCGAGGGGGCAGTTTAAAAATTCAATTCAGATGGAGTAATCCAAATGCCATATCATTTGCTGTACCCCGAGAGAAAGTCTGGAGCGGAGAGTGAGCGCAAGAAAGAATCCGTCCTTCCCCCCCCCCCCCCACGCAAATAGGCCTCATTGCTGCTGCCATGCTTCATTGAAATTTTATTTTTCCTAAGGCTCCTAAATGTGTTCTTTCACCATCCAAAGCTCCCCCACTAAATAACAGAGTCAGCGGCTGCTGGGTGCCAGTATGGTGAAACGCACATCTGAATATTTTTCTCTTTAATGGGCTATTTAATGGGAGCCCGGCTAAAGGCAGGCACCTTGAAGCCAGCAGGAGGAGGTGGAGGTAGGAATTAGTCAGGAAGCAGAGGGGGGCCTGCTTGTAGGAAAAGAGGGGGGCAGGGTGGTGAAACCCTTCCCGCCAGGGAAGGCAGAAGCAGCAAGGGGTGTACCAAGATCTGGGTATCTTTTCTTTACATTGACATGATTGACTGACTGCCTTGAATCTCTAAGCCCTATAACAAGACGTCTCCATCTGATCACCAGTGAAGTGTTAAAGAAACAAGACTAACCTAGAAATGGATGCATTGCATGAATTCTTTCTTTCTTTCAACTCACATGCTGCTATGGGGTAGTTTACAACCGTTATGTGAGGAACACTTTAGGGAGGTATCTTGAACAGCGCAGAATTATTTACCCATTCCAGCCAGCATGATCTACCGTTCCACTAAGTTTTTCCTATCACCTGCTACCGGTGATTCCGTTTTTCTGGAAGTGTTGAGGATTAGATCTGGAACTTCCTTCATGCTATGGATGGGCCTTTCTATGGAACTGTGGCCCCTTTCCTACAGCCTGAACCCCACCTGTACTTCTGGGACACCCACCCACAAAATCTCTTTAAGCACATTGTTGTGTCCACAGAAGATAGGGTTGCACTTGTTTCCCCACAAAACAGGCGAAGTGTGCTGGACAAGAGGGACATGTGCTTTGGAGTACATGTTTTAGCCCCTGCTCTCAGGAATATCTACCAGATCCAGTCCTGCACACATATACATAACATTAGCTGCTCTCTTGCTCTTCTTGAAAGCTACCTGGATCCTTGGGAAGTTCCCCAGTCACCTGAGGTTTCCCTTGGAAAGCAAGATGGATGACAGCTCCTGCAGCTGTCGCCAGTTGGAAGCATCATCTTCCGGAGCCACTTAAAACTTCAGTAGCCAAAACCTGGCTTCTCCTGGGAAGGAAGGAATGAGAGAAGGACTGGCTCAGTTAAGAACACTTACTTGTATCTGCTGTGTCAGGGGCTGCATACTCAGACGTTCCATTCTCATTTGACATTGCAGCACATACAAGCAGGGACTCCTGGAAGCAGATGATGATAATAAACCTTTGTTGCTGGTCCCCTGTGAAGTAGCCACCTCTTCACCAGACTTGGAACCTATTTCGGACCCAAAGTGGGTTACAGTAGCTACTTGATTGCTCTCCCATGTTGGTTCCTTTCAGAAAGCCCTTTCTCTAAGCAGAGGTTTTGTTGTGCGCAGCAATTACCATATTTTTCCGTGTATAAGACATCCCCATGTATAAGACGCCCCCCCCACTTTTCTAACCCAAAATTAAGAAATCTAAGTGGGGCTTAGCAAATGGAGGGGAAAGCAGGGATCAAAACCTTGCAGGATCACTTTGATCCCTGCTTTCCCCTCCACTTATTTTTGTTCTTTCCTCAGCTTATTTCCGTGTATAAGACAACCATCAATTTTTAGTCTAAAGATTTTAGACAAAGGTATAGTCATATACATGGAAAAATATGGTATCTAAATTGGAGCAGACAAGAGCGTGTCAGTTGAGGCTGGTGACATCGCAGTGCTTGGTGCTCACATGCGGGTGGGCAAACTCGTATTCCCAAGGTGGCTAAAAGACTGTGTTCACAGTTCAGAGAACCACCTGGAAACTTCCAGGATCTAAACACAGCCTTTGGGGACTACTGACTGCCGTCTAAATGGATGGCAGGTGCTGTCAGCTTTGCAGCAGGACCAAAATGATGTAAAGCAAATAGCCGTCAATTTTTCCAAGGATCCATTGTCACAGGCCTGCTGGGAATATGCCCCGCTTGGTTTACAGATCCTTCCTCCTAATCCCAGCTGGGGAGGATAAGGGCTGATGGTGGTTTCCTCAAGAGAAGGAGGTGGTGCACTCTGTACATGCTTCCAGGCATTCCTTTATTGCAGCTCTCTTGTGTCAGGCTTCAGAGATCATAGTTTCTGAGTCTCTAACAGAGAGGATACCGTGCCAGTTCTGGAGAGAAATCTATAAACATGAAGAGCATTTTAAGGAGCTCAGATAAGGGAAAGATGGAACAGGCAATCTAATCAGGCACTAAAATGCTCTGAGCAAAGAGAAAAGGTAGCAGAGAATGTATTATTGTGCTGGAAATTGCCGGTCCTTTTTGCAGGAAGCGTTAATCACCGAAGTATCCAATCTGGATAATGGGAGTGCCTCCCTCCCCTTCCACATCCACCTAAAGGGGAAATCAATTTGTGAAACACTATAGATTGGAAGATGGCTCACCCGTCCATCTCTCCCCACCACCACCACCTCCAGCCCATTTTCTCCATTGTGTGGTGGTGTTTTTTTGTTTAGTATAGTATAGTTTAGGGGGTTTTTTTCTCCCTTTCGTTATCTTTATTCTTCTCTCCTCCTGTGGCTTGCTGCTTAGCCCATCAAAAGCAACATTAGAGGATTTTGACATTGATTTCCTGGTGCTCAGATCTCTTCTTCAGCTTAGGTTCTCCCTCCCAGATGCAGTCTTTTTTTTGCTTTTGCAAGCTATATACAAATATCTGCCCCAGCAAAAATGGGTTACTAATGAAAAGTGGCAGTGGTTTTTTCTTCTCCATTGATTTATGTTTAACTGCCATGTAATTTAATTGGAGAAAAAAAAATCCTTTTTCCATCTTCAGTGTGTTCCGTCTGTCTGGCTTCTTGAGAGGGATCAGCTCTAAGATGGTTTGTATGAGATTATGAATATTGGGAGGTACAGGCAAGAAGAAGGTGTAAAAGAAGGAAGTGTGGAAACGTCTACAGCAAAGAGAGCAAAGGGGTGTGTGGAGCAAAAGGCCAGTATATGTGGAGTGGCTGCGCATGTGAAATAGTGTCACATTTCCCAGGAGAAAGAACGCCTCTTTTGGCCTGTTGAAAGGGTGAAGATCCAGCAGTTCCTCTCCTAGAGTCCTTATCCAGCAGTGTTATAGTGAACCCTGAGAAGGACTGCATTCAGAGGAGGCCCAGCGTACATTATTATTCTAAGGATCGGTCCAGACTATTGTTGTGTGCTATGAAAGGATATACATATCTAAGGAGTAGTTTTACCATTGCCACACACCAGTGAGTTTCCATGGCCAAGCAGTAATTTGAATTCCTGATTCTTGCCCCGACCTTCTATCCACCGCACCACACTTGACCCAGCCTTTCTAGCTTCGTCT